AGGGGCGAATCCAGGTATAGAATTCAGGGAGAGAATCCAGGGAGACGGAGACATTTTTTTTTCTCCATATGGCAGAAATTATAGATGGCGCTATTTTGGGTTCGTTAGATGCACTGATCATCCTGATAAACATGAATAGGATGGATGCATGCCTGACCTCCCCCTCGATATTGAATTTTAATTTTTTTTTTCTATCAAGAAGTGAACTAATAGGTTGCTAATGACCTTTATAACTCCATAGATGACAGTTAAATAGGGCTGTCTATTTGTTCAAAATAAAAGGCTTTTGTTTAAAGCCATTTTCATCATTTTCCAAAAATAATACGGTGAATTTTGAAGTTAAATCTCTTGATAATAATAATAATAATAATAATAATAATAATAATAATAATAATAATAAGATTAATAAGATTAATAATAATAATAATAATAATAATAATAATAATAATAATAATAGTAATAATAATAATAATAATGTTAGTCTTATAGAGCGCTTAATGCAAAACAATGCTGCTAAGCGCTTTCCACATAAAAGTGTGTGCAAGTCAGTGAAACTATTATTTTATTTCCATCTGTTTTTGATCGTTTTAAACTAGCTACTGTATTCAGTTTTTTTAATTGGATCTTAAAGGGGTTTTTTTTTTATTCTGTTGGCAGTCATTAATAAACAGCACTAGAATATCGTCAGTTTTGGTATTAACTCAATGTTTGTAATCCGCTTGCTATAATACATCTGTACCGGGAGTTGTTATTTAGATCTATGCCTGTTACTTCTTATTCATATTGAATATGAACGAAAACTGTCTTATCTATCGTTTATAAGCGATGGTGAATTCTAAAATTTTATTCAGAATCAGTGCTATATAGTTCGTATGTATGCTGCAATTATACACATGTCATATTGTCGCACTACTCAAATAACGGATTCAACGCTATCAAAGACGATGCTATACATATACTCTGCATAGGGATACAGTGCACCCTCCCGTTCGAGATTCCTCTAATTCAAGACCACTTTTCCAAAGAAGACCCAAATAGCAATCTTCAACCTTTTAACACAAAGATAGCCCTCTAATTGGAGACCAACCCCGGGACCACCAAACATTTTCAGGGCCCAAAGATGGTCTCGAATTGGAGAGCAAAATGTATTATAATTACAATAGCCCACTAATTTTCAATTTGTCTACTGAACTGTCTTTACCAAGAGACGTTGGCCTACTATACGCCGTAGATTTCATTAAGCCTTTCATTCATCCAGAAATCAAACATGCATATAAAGGTTTATCATTGCACCTAACTAACATAAAATAGCGCCCTCTATAATTTCTGCCCTAACAGTACCGGTATGGGACAAAAATAATTCCCCCGGACCCCCTAGGGTAGTTTTGTCTTGATCGGCCCCTCTTTCGCCCCCCCCCCCCCCATCCACACCTTTCGGACATCTCTGTATCCGCTCCTGATTCTCATCATTGTCTTATCATCATCGTTATGTTTCTAAGATAAACATTATAATCAGCAGTTCAAAGTCACTTAGGCCTATGTCTATAAGGCAACAGGTGATCAGAATCTCATGTATGAAAGATAAGAAATGTACGATGGTCTAACAGCAAAAATAAAGAGATAAAATCGCAATTGTTTGTCGAGCACACATATTCAACACCTCTACCTACTCCTCGAAAGATACGGTACTGTTTGCTGTCGTGCTAATTGTAATTTGTGCTTGCCATCTGGAAGCGCCATGCTGGAGGTAGGACACTGTGTTTATGCAGGTGCGGATCCAGATTTTACCCTGACTATCGCACAGATGGGTTACCAGGTTGGGTGTGGGGACATGAGAGGAGAGAGCGTAATTTCTGCTTGTTGTGGAAGACACTTTTTAGACTTGGGGTAGGGTCCTCCTTCGGAAAGTTTTGTTTTCTGATGCTTGGAAATGCACTTCAGTGCATTGCGAGACCTCTATTAATGAATAAATACACTCTGAATTCATAGTTTTTCCCTGATTTACTATGGACAATTAATAATTAGGATGATGAAGGGATGATGAATTTTTTACAAGACATGGTTTGTCTTTTACAAACCATATTTTGTTTTTCGACAAAATACATGGTTTGTCTTTTACAAGCCGTGGTTTGTCTCTCAGAAAACGACAAACCATAGTTTGTGAAAAACAAACTGTGGTTTGTGTAGACAAAAATCCATGTACCAGTGTCTATGGTCCAGCATTTTCTATGAACAAACATCTGATACATCATCCTACCCTGCCTAGTGCTTTGAACATTGGCCCTACCCAGATTTTCTCTGGATCCGCCCCGTATTCAGTTCCATTTTAAACACGCACGTATACCCGGTACTATAGACTTGTGCGAAAGATTGTTTTTTTTTTTTTTCATATAGGCTCTCTTTCTCTCATCTCAGGAGTGTCATCAAGCTGCCCTGACAATTATTTCGAATGCGCTGGAGGACCAGTGTCGTGTGTGCCGGACATATGGGTGTGTGATGGTGACGAGGACTGTTGGGACGGTGGCAGTGATGAAGTAAATTGTAACACGAATCCGGGCCCTAGTCAACCAAGCGGATGTGATTCAAAGTTATTTACATGCGACACCGGAGAATGCATCAACAAAGAGTAATAAAATATTGTTACATTACTCTATCACTTACTGAATGTAATGTCCTTGCTCTTTCACATCGACTGACGTCATCATTATGCCAGTCGATGTAAAGATGCACGTTGTGCTAATACATATTTTATGGCCTATTCCTTGATCTCATATCTCATTTGAATACAGTGATGAAACTGCATTGCACTGTGCTGACATAAGTAGCGGTTTGCCGAGCAAAAGCGGAGAAAATAATCATGCAGAAAAGGGACAATAAAAGCTTGATTTGAATTTGGGAGTTGAGATCGAGAACTTATAGTAATTGTAGTTCGACACCGATTTTGATTGATGCGCACTTTCAGCTCTTCTGCTTTTCAATTAACGTGGCGGGATATTTCGACAGATGATACGATAGGTTTCCATAAAATCGATCACCCAATCGGCAACATTCGCCAAATTGTCGGGGAAGGTTGAACCGATTACGTGCGCAGACGAATTCGGGTGCCTGCCCGATTGCGTCAGGGCAGCTAGCAATGCACCCTGATTCGTAATCGGCAAAGTTGAACCAGGTTCAACCTTCTCGACGACTGTCGCCGATAGAGTGAGCGATTCTATGGAAACTGAGATTTAGCCGACAGACTATTCGCCAAATGATTTTCACCGATTTGCCAACCGATTATTTCATCGACATAAATTCATTTTGCCGACAGCCAATGCTGGCACTATTTTAAAATGTGACAGGATGTGTTTTGTCATGAGGCAGTTGCCCAACACAGAATCGACAAAAGAGGCATTTCATTTTGCCGATTTCCAATTTCATATGACTTAGATCTACTTTTTCTTTCTTAGATTGACAGTCCCGGAAGTTTTTTAGTGGTTTTGTTTGTGGGCCCTTTATCCCTAAAAAAAATCATTACATTTTACATTTATTTTGCTATAATTCTTCAAAAGACAATGGCCTTGTCGGTGGCAGGATAAACAAAATGCAAAATTGGTGTAAAGTTGTTTCGCCACGCACCACACCCCCCCCCCCCCAAAAAAAACCTACCAGATACGCCACGATGGCCCACATTGTGGGTTGGACGAATATTAGTAAAGCATCTTGGGCACTCCTATAAACCACATATTAACTTTCATGTGGGAACGGTGTAATATCTAACCAGCTCTATTTGTGTAATATTGTTCTAGTTACGTCTGTGATGGTGAGAAAGATTGTCTGGATAATTCTGATGAGGGCGCAGTCCTCTGCAAGAATTGCTACGAGGACCAACATCAGTGTGATGTCGACGTCTGTATTCCACGATCCTGGGTTTGCGACGGCGAAGCTGATTGCACAGATGGAACGGATGAGCGAAGATGTTGGTGAACATCTTGGTGAATCGATCACTCATTGAAAACAAACAATATTGAATAAAAAGACAGACAGTCCAATATTTATTTTGCTTTCTGTTTTGAATGTCTATCTAGGATAGGAGTATTTTTGGTGTGGATCACAGTGGCGGCGCCAGGATTTCCCCGACGGGGGTCCAAAGT